GAACACAAGGATTATCTATAATTTATAACTAACCACTAAACAATTCACAAATTAGGTTTGTCCTAGTCTCGCAGAGAAGACTACTGCATGCATCTAAGTTGCGGAGGGAAGTGACCACAAATTAGTTTCGTCAGTTAAGCAAGGCTCCTTAAAAAGACAAAAACAAAAAAACAAAGAGAGGAGAGAGCTTTAAGAGGCCTATTTATGTTTCTGTTTCTGTTGAATTACATATTAACGGTAAAATAAGTTAAAGAAGCTCAAAAGGTAAAGAAGCAATTGTGGAAATTGGGACCGAGTTAAGGACAAACATAAAGTTACTTCTTTTCCAGAGCTTTCTTTTCTCATGTTATCAAGAGCTGAGCTGCTTCAACTTGTCATGTAAATTATTCGAAGAGATGGAAAATCGCATGGTGGTGAGTTCACATAAAAAACATTGTGATTTGTGAACATGACTAGAATGTCCTTCATATAACCTCCCCTGTTTCTCTGCATTATATGTTTGTATTAGTTTGAAAGGTGCCTTTGCAGGGCCTTGGCCAGGCCCTCAAGCTTTCAATCAAAGCTAAAGCAATATTGAGCGTGCCACTGTTAGTTTAGTCTAACATAATGAATTTTAACTGTCAAGTGGATTGATTACTTACGCCACAAGTTATTGGGCTTCTGAGTTCAAATGGATTGTTTACAGATGAGTTAAATCCATAAAAGGCTCTTTTCTGTGCCTTATGGACAAGAACTTTTGAGGCAATAATAACAATTATCGAAGTTACCAATGAGTTGAAAACAATCGAAACAACTTTTTGGGTTGAGTTAAGGACAATGTCACTAAGACATTTTGTGGCTCTATCCAAGATATACAAGCAGTGTCAAATTGCTACGCCTTCTCCAAGATAAATCATCTAATAATCACCTCTCTAGACCCTCATTTGCACTGAGGAAGATCCAAAAACTATTATCTTCTATGTTAAACTCAAATATGTTAAATGCTTTATACTAGTTAACTCTTTTCTTATACCTGGAAGCCTGATCAAACCCTAAATTTTACAGAGCAGACTAGAGTACGTTGAAGAAGTTGAGAAGACAGTGCCCAAAGAATCAGGAACTTCTCTCATCTAGTTGAGAAAGACGAGATCTTTTACTTTATCTTCAAAACAAATTCTACTTAGTTGATGAGTAGTGGTCTTCCACAAAATAAGAGAAAACGTTCTTTACTGTAGAAAATATAGAACCCGAATTTACATTAAACACAGCGTTCCAATTTCTTTGTCGGCAAAGTTTTTTTTTGAAATTTAGATTTTGCGCATGAAAAAACACTGTATGAGTAACATTCAAAAAAAAAAAAAAAAATGGGTGTCGTTAAACTAACAAAGGATAATCCGTTTGCTTAACAAATGAAAGGTAGATTATAGCTAATCCAATTCGGCTTAGTACTATATATGCTACCCTTGGGAGACAAATATTATCATAAAAAATTTTGATTGTTCTAGTAAGATAGTTCGAACAAGTATACCGACAGTAAGGAGAGTAGTACTAATTAAGGGCACCCAACTAGTATTCTGATTTCTTAACATTAACTTATGTAACGCATAACAAATCATACACAAATGAAATGCCGGCATGCTAAAGGGGATTTAAAATATTAAGATAGGAGTCGGTTGCCAATTGGAGTACCCAAAATTAATTGGGTCATAGGAGCAGATGGCAATAGTTTCATATAGCACAAACAGTCCTAATTAAGAAAGCAAATGTCGTTTTAATGATGTTTCAGTTTTAACATGGAGAGTAATCCAACTATTTACAAACCATTGCAAACTCTATTTTTTTCCGATTTAAGATTCATACTCTCAACAATTTACAAATTAGGATACAAGTTTGTTCTAGTATGACAGAGAATACTATGCTACTACATGCGTCAAAGTTGAAACAGAGAGAAATGACAACTTAGTTTCGCCTAGCATCTTCATAGTGTCCTTAAAAGACAAAAACAAAAATCAAAAGAGGGGAGTGTTTTAAGAGGCCTCCTTCTATTTTTGTTTATGTTAAAATTGGGTAAAAGAAGTTGAAGAAGCTCAGAAGCTCAACAGCTTAAAGAGTTAGTTGTGGAAATTGGGACCAAAAGCACAAACATACAGTTAATTCTTTTCCACAGCTTTTCTTTTCTCATGTTATCAAGAGTCGAGTTGCTTCAATTGGTCATGTTTATACCATATTTAGGGCCTTGTATTTAGACCTCGTATAAATACTCGGGGGACTTAAATGTAATTATGTGATAAAGGAATGGGCAAATATGTAATAAGTGAGGAGTCCTTATTCTATAAAAGGACCCCTCACCCTCACAATTAGAAAAGGGCTCACTCTCACTCTCGGAGACCAATTTCTAGGCCCTCTCACCCCCTCTCAAAGCTCCTACTCTCAGAGCTCTCTCCCTCAGATAAATACATATTCAGTGTGGACGTAACCCAAACATTGGGGTGAACCATGATATATCTTATGTCATTTACACTCTGGAGAAGCCCAAAGACGGCGCCAATGTTTGGGCTTCTCCAGAAAACTTTCGCAGACCTCCAACCACCTCTGCCTCCTCTCTCAGTCAGTCAACACGGAAACCAAAGATTTCAGCTGCAAATTCACCTGCTTTTGCAGCCCATCCACGCCACCATGTCCTCATATTTCCACCGAGTTCCAAAGTGCTCACCAGAAAAAATGATGGCTTCCATGTCTTTCTCTACAACTTTTTCAACACCTTTACAGATTTTTCTCAAGCAAAAACAAAAATAAGCACGAATTCTTTAGCTTCATGCCCTCCCATGGCGTGTTGGATCAAATCCTCACTTGGGTCTCCTAATCGGCATTTTTTCGAAATGGGTGGTCTTTCCAATCGGAGAATTTTAATGGGTTTCTGATCAAATCTTGGTCTTTGGTTGTCTATGCTAAAGCAACTACAACAACATCTCTATATATCTCTCATGTCCCTCGTCTCTATCTTGTCCCTTATCGCTCAGCCTGACACATTAATCAACACACCCAACTGAAAGAGGGGTAGTTTCGTGATTACCCTGATTCCGCCATGGGCATTCCCTGCGACGACATCGTCGTTATCAAGCCGAGGAAGGCTCCTGATGAGCCATCTGTCCTCACCGTCAACTGTCCCAACAAGGCCGGCCTCAGCTGTTATTAGGAGAGGTTGAAAGATCAGCTCTCGTCCGCGTGCCCGTCGTCGTGCTTCTTCTCATTTTATCTCAATCAAATCTCCAACGTCCCAACGCCTTCTTTGGTCTATCTGTTGAAGTTTGGGTGCCACGACCAGAGAGGCTCACTCCACGATGTTTGAGCCATCGTGCGATTTGGGCAAGAATTTGTGGGATCTCGCGATGGCCCAGATGGTTTATGATGATGTTATGTTGTTGGGTTGGAGTGGTCGAGGAGATAAAAAATCAATGGCTTTTCTCAGTTTTCAGCATCTGTCAATTTGGCGGAGGAACGAAAGATGCCAAAATTAACTGCTGAGAGTACCTGGGATTTTGAGATGTGATTCATTATTGTATCTGATAACCAACTTAGAACTGTCTCTGCCACGTGTTCCACAACGAGTGCATTGACAGGGGGCTGGAGTATAATGATCATCATCATCATCACCATCACGACGAGGACAATCACAAAACTTGCCCGCTCTGCAAGACTCCATTGTTGACGTCATTGTAGAAGCGGAGCCTGAGTTGGGACCTTGCAGGCTTAAAAGGGACGGTCAAATAAGAGGCTTATTTCATTGAACAAAGTTAAACAGCATGAAAAAGGAGATTCAATGTGCGGCGATCCAGTATGGAACTGGTGCAATTTCAGGTTTCTTCCTCCACCAGGACCATGTCCAAGTCGGTGATCTTGTTGTTAAGGATCAGGACTTTATTGAGGCAACCAAAGAGCCTGGAGTCACATTTGTGGCAGCTAAGTTTGATGGTATTCTTGGACTTGGATTTCAAGATATCTCAGTTGGAGATGCTGTTCCTGTCTGGTATAATTTGGTCAATCAAGGTCTTGTTAAAGAACCAGTTTTCTCATTTTGGTTAAATCGCAATACAGAAGGGGAAGAAAGGGGTGAGATTGTCTTTGGTGGGGTTGATTCTAGTCATTTCAAGGGTGAGCATACATATGTTCCCGTGACTCAGAAAGGCTACTGGCAGTTTGATATGGGTGATGTCTTAATTGATGGTGAATCATCTGGATTTTGTGCTAATGGCTATTCAGCAATTGCTGACTCAGGCACCTCCCTATTGGCTGGACCAACGGAAGTATGGAGAGGTGGTGGAGGCTGTGATCATGAGGGATCGTGCAAAAGGGGAGATAAGATTAATGTACTTATCATTCCTTGTTTGCCATCTGCAAAAGAGAAAAGAAGACAGAAACAAAAGCAAAAGTAAAGCAGAAAAGGAAAAGAGAAAAAAAGAAGAGAGGAACATGGAGACATTTCAAAAGCAAGGAATAAACACCCCACCAGAATGATGTAATTTATTTTATCTTTCGGAAATATCTGTATAAACCCCATTAGAGGGTAACTAAAAAAAAATAAAATAGCAAAGCCCAAAACAAATGGGCTGGCATGTTGTGGAGGGCGAAGGCTCATAAGCCCGAAATAGCACCAACCAGGTGATCAAAAGTATGCCCAGTACTCTAAAAATTATTCGGTAACCCGCCGCTATTACCACCAACCAGGTGATGAAGTATACAACCCGTACTCTAAATATCATTTGGCAACTAGCCATTCATGCCACCAACCAGGTGATGAAATGTAAACCCGTACTCTAATATCATTTGGCAACTAGCCATTCATGCCACCAACCAGGTGATGAAATGTACAACCCGTACTCTCCTTCATGCCACCAACTAGGTAAACAAAAGTACGCTCAGTACTTCAAATTATACATGAGCATTACTCATGTCAATCATACATAAACATTCATGAGTATCACTCATATCAATCATACATAAACATTCATGAGCATCACTCATATCAATCATACATAAACATTCATGAGCATCACTCATGTCAACATTCATGAGCATTACTCATGTCAACATCCATGAGCATCACTCATGTCAATCAAACATTCATGAGCATCACTCATGTCAATTAAACACTCATGAGCATCACTCATGTCAATCAGCTTCAAAAGCTTCATTTACAAAAGCTCTAGCTTCAAAAACTTCATTTACAGAGCTCCAGTTTCAAAGCTTCACTTGCAAAGCTTCATTTACAAAGCTTCAATGCAGGATATACAAATACCACATCCGAACAACCGCCACTTCGGCCCATACATGAATTCAATTTGAAGTCTCCAGCCAACAGACTCTATTGACTGAAAACTTGAGGGACTACACTATACACCATATATTGGGCCTCAACTAGGCCTCATGAAAAATACTTGGGGGACTCTAGCCCATTATTTATGTATTGAGAAGCGAGCCCTTATTTTATAAAAGAGACTCCCTCACCATCATTAGAGCAGCATCAACTATAGCTCATTATTCATGTATTGAGGAGCGAACCCTTATTTTATAAAAGGGACTCATTCACCATCATTAGAGAGCAACGCCGCCAGCTGAGCAACCGTCTCGCCGCGAGCATCAACTCTAGCCCATCATTTATGTATCGAGGGAATGAGCCCTTATTCTATAAAAAGGACTCCCTCACCATCAT